CATGTTCTGCATTTTACTTAATTTCCTTCCTAATTTCTTGAAGAGTCCTGTATATTAATCTTTTGTATTCTGCCTCTGGTAATTTCAAGAAATTTTCCTCCTCTGGAGAATTTCTAATTTCTTTATTTTGGGAGCTTGCTGAAGCCATCATGGATAGCCTCTTTATGTGATTTGATGTTGACTGTTGTCTCCAAGCCATCAGTAAGTTATATTTATTTATTTTATGTTTGCTTACTGTGTCCTAGCTTCTTGTTTTGTTTTGATATGCCGAAATAGGCTGCTTGTATGAGCTAGTTTTATTATTGGCACCTTTGAAGCTCTAATGTCCTGCCACCAGGTGGTTAGATCTGTTACTAGGTATGTGAGCTCAAGAATCCACCCACTCCTCCTGTATGGATTCAGCTCGGGTACCCAGGTAGATAGCCACGAAATATGTGGTGTAGGCTCTCACATACAGTCCTAGACAGGCATGGGTGATTGCTGTAGGCACAGGCATGTACCTGCAGTAGGGGAACACACTCTGAGCAAGGCAAGGGGCCAACGTCCACCCCCAAGTGTCCAGGAGGAAAGCATCTCCCTGTTCCCTAGAGCATGTAGGTGGGTGAGTTTTGCAGCCGGACTATGAGCACCTCATGCTGTCGGCTGTAAGGATTGGGGGGCACCTCTTCTTCATGGGCTCCTCTTGCAGGTGGCTAGGTGGCATGGGTGGAGCCACCAGTCCTCAGGCCCCTGACGTGGGTAGGTGAAGACCCTGCTTAATGGGCGGAGCAGTGTCAAATGTCAAGAACCTGCCACTTCACAGCTGAAACAGTTGAAGTTAGACTTCAGGTATATACCCTGTTGCACTGCAGTAATGAGGGCCTACGCTGTTGAGATTGGCCCACACAAGTCTATGCCGGAGAAAAGGCACTCAAAGTTTGTGGATCCCTTATGCCTGTGCCTAGGCAAAGAAGCTGTTCCTACCCTGGGTTCCTGGCTTAGGGGAGCCGGCAGTTTATTTTTTCCCATTTGTTCATCTGTTCACTCTCTAAGGCAGGGAGAATGGCTCTGGGCGTGTGACAGATCCTACTTCTGGCCAAGGGGATTCGGCGATTGCTGAAGCAGGTCTGGGACCCAGTGCAGAGCAGGGAGTACGGAGGTAAATGGGAGAGAGTTTTTTCCTTAAGGGGGGTGTTTTTGATCCACGTGATAGGCCGTATGCAAGTACTTATGTTTCATGGAGGGCTGCTTCTCACTGGTTCTGGGCAGCCGTGTAGACTCTCTGGCTCTGGGTCTCTCCTGGTGGGGAAAACGCGCCTCCCAAGCACGGCTGCTTGCCTGCCTCACCGCTCACCCCTGAGCTGCTCAGGCTCTCGCTAGGTTGGGTCTGGCAACTCATCGCTGCTTCCGAACTGTCTCTCCCTCCCCCTGCCACTCAGTCCAGTTCCTGAACTCTGCCTTTGATGTTCAGGGCTCCCAGATTGCCATATATAATCGAATCACTTGTTTTTTCGGGTCTTTGTTGTAAGAGGGTCCACCGGAACCATCTGACTACTCTGCCATCTCGGCCCCGCCTCCTAAAATAGTATTCTTGAAGGCAGGCTTTGTTCAGGAGAACAGAGAGCTCTGGGCATATTTCAAAAAGTTATTTTTCCCCTCCCCCTGCCAGAAGCAGGCAGTGGATTTTTCTCCAGTCTTCACAGTGAGAACCTGGCGGGTCCCCTGGAGGTAAAACTCTTGAAAGTGTGCCCCCCTCCCAAGCCTGGATCCCCCTGTAGTTTTTAACTCAAGCTAGTCTACACTACACTGAGCCTCTGACAATTCATCAATTACAATTTAAGGGGTTCCTACCAGTACTGATTTCCAGCTCCTGGCTTCTGCCTCAGGTAAGCTGTGATTTTCTGTATAGCCTGTCTTTCTAGTTTTCAGGGCAGCGGTTTGCCCTGAGACCTCGATTCTCTGATGAATCTAAGAAGAATTGTACATTTTCAGTTTGTTCGTCTTTTTCTTGTTATGAGGATGGGAGTGTCAACTTTCAAGCTCTTTACGTGTCAGACTGGAAACTCAAAGTCTGAAGTAAAATTTCAATATTATTTAAATAAGTAATAAACGCACATGGTTTTGAAAATTCAGGTAGTACCAAAGAATATACAGTAAATGTGTCCCTCCTTAGAGACAACTACTTTATGCCAATGTGTGTGTGTGTTCTTGCAGAGATTATTACATGCACAAACAAGCAGTTATCTGTGTACATTTTTCCCTTTTCCCCCACCCATCTTTTTTTTTAAAAACATAAATACTATACACATGGTTCTGGGCAGTGCTTTTTAATATATCACTATGTCTTGGAAATCAATTTCTGTCAGTACTATAGAGCTGCCTCATTCTTTCAATGGCTACAGCATATGCCATTGAGTGTATGTACCATAATTTAGTTCATCAGTCACCTTTTAAAGGGTAGTTGTTTCCAGTCTTTTGTTGGTGCAGACCAGGGCTTCAAATCAGTGTGGTCCAGTTCGAACCCGTGCTGATAATTTACATCTCCACCTCAGATATACTGAATCAGAATCTAAATTTTAACAAGATCCCCAGGTGATTCTTCTGCATAATAAATTTTAAGAGCTGCTGCTCTACTAGTGGTTCTCAGAATTGGTCCCTAACTGGCAGCATTAGCATCACCTGGGGACTTGTTAGAACTGCGAATTGTGAGCAGGGGTTCAAACCTGAACGACTAGGTTCAAACCCCTGCTGCAACAATGCTTCAGTGAGTGTCCTTACCTGTTGGTCTTGGTGCCCATGCGCAACTGTATCTGTATGAAAAATCTCGTTAAGTGGAAATGCTGCACTGAAGGCCTTATGAATTTTCATTTTCTGGAAGGAGAATTTTAAAATTGTTTTCATTTCTTGTGTTATTGCTTTGCCAACCTCTCTATTCGTGTGTAATTGGTATCTTGGATTTGTCTCTGATGTCTGCTATCTTCTTGAAACTTTTATTTCTTTATGTAATTCTTCTGTGTTCTGGGGGAATTTCTAAGGCATTCTGGTTCGCTGTTTGCTTTCTGAAATTTATAGTTTCTATGATCATTGAATTCCTAAGTGTGATAAATGTGATCAATTCCTAAATGTAATATAAAAATACATCCAGCACCCCAAGGTCCCTGGGTGATGCAAACAGTTTATACTCGACTATTAACTGAACAGTTGGCAGCTCGAAACCACTCAGTGATGCCACAGAAGAAAGGCCTAAATCTACTTCTGTAAAGATTACAGCCAATCCTGGACTCTCTGTTGCCCCAAAACTAAAACCATGCCTGCGGCCGGCTCTTCAGACAAAGATTAGACTGGACTATGGGACATAAAATGATACTCCTGAAGAGTGTGCTTCTTAGTTCAGGTAGATACATGAGACTGGATGGGCGGCTCCTGTCCAGAGGTGAAATGGGAGGGAGGGGAAGGTCAGGGGCTGGTTGGGTGGACATGGGAGGTCTGGGGTGGAGGGGAGGAGTGTGCTGTGGCAACGTAGGGAGAGCGGCTAGGGTCACATGACAGTGTGTGTATGGACTTTTGTGTGAGAGACTAACTTGAGTTGTAAACTTTTACTTAAAGCACAACAATTAAAAAAGAAAAAAAATCCAAATGTAAAAAAAAAAAAAAAAAAGATTACAGCCAAGAAAACCCTAGGGAGCCGTTCTACTCTGTAACACACAAAGTCGCTATGAGTCGGAATCAACCAGCATCGCAGAAGCCTCCCTTGTGCCTCCTTCCAGTTACAATCCCTCCATGGGTGACCAGGGATTTATTTTGCCTTTTTTTTTTTTAACTTTATATAAATCGAGTTATATAGTATATACTGCTTCTACCTTCTTTCATTTAACATTGTGAGAATCGTGTGTATCACTGCATGTAGTTGTAGCTTGTTCATTCTCCTTGCTGTACAGTATTCCATTGTGTGGGAAGAAAAACCGTTGCCCTTGAGTAGATTCCAACTCATAGCAACACTATAGGACAGAGTAGAACTGCCCCGTAGGGTTTGCAAGGAGCAGCTGGTGGATTCGAACTGCCAATGTTTCGGTTAGCAGCTGAGCTCTTAACCACTGCGCCACCGTGGCCTCTCCATTGTATGAACATACCTCAGTTTGTTTATCTGTTCTATTGTTTATGGACCTGTGATTGTTTTTAGTTTGGGGCTATTATGCATAGTGCTGTTATGAACATTGTTCGTGTCTTCTGATACACATATGTACACAATTTTGTTGGATATATGCCTAGGAATGGAATTGCTGGATCCTAGGTTATATATGTGTGCCACCTCTGACGTGGGTGTCTCATTTTGCATTCCCATGAGAGTCCTGCTTGCCAGCATTTGGTACTTTCTGTCTTTTTCATTTTAGCTGTTCTGGTGAGTAAAACAGTATTGCCATGCAGTTTTAATTTTGATTTCTCTCACTACTTATAATATTGAGCACCTTTACATATGTTTATTGGCCAGTTGGATGTCCTTTTTTCTGAAGTGCCAGTTGAAATTTATTTTTCCATTTTTAAATTTTTTTTTAAAGTGCATTTGCCTAGCTAGTAGGTTGCATTTTCCCATCCTTTTGTCTCTCCCTCTCTCTCTTTATCCCTTTTAATTTTTTTTCTTGGCTCTTCTTCCACCTGTTTTTTTTTTTTTCTAACAAGTGTACTTTAGAATCAGTAATAGCAAACAACTCTCGAGAACTTTTGGTGAATTTGCATGAAACTTTTCTTTTGGGAAAAATTGGCACCCGGACTAGAAGATGCAATTGTCATTTTTTCTAAGAGGAAAAAAAATGATAAATCCTAAACCCTCCTAGATTTTTGCCCACCAGATTGTATTGTCATCCCCATATTTAATTCCAGTTTTAGCTTTATTTTACTATAGCAATGTTTTTGATTTATGCTTGTTGGAAGTGAAAGTTCTTAAATATGCGTTTAAAAATGCATTAAAAATATAAACCTTGTAAAAAATAAAAACATTTTTAAAATATGTAAATGTTTTACAGGTTCTTGATCAATATGAACGAGAAGGATTTACTTTCCTAGCGAAGGTGTTTAATTCTTCACATTCCTTCTTAGAGGACTTGACTGGTCTTACGTTGCTGCATCAAGAGACCCAAGCTGCCGAGGTAAGAACAAAACAGGCTTTCTGTGGTGAGGACTGATGCGTTCAACACCCATTTAATATTCAGCTTTACGGGAACAGGAGAAGGCAATTAATTATGATATTTTTTCCTTAGAGCAAATATTACTAAATAAGTCTGCTAGGTATCAGAGTAGAAGGAACCTACTGAAATTGCTGGATGCTAATGTACGTGAGTTGCTATCTGGTAGGTGCCTAATGCACAAAAAACTGCCAATAATGGAAGTGCAAGTTATTGATTTCCCAAGATCCTCCTGTCCTCACTGGAGATCTGCATGTCTGTGGCCATTGGAGTGTCGGATCTAATGTTCACATATCAAAATGCAAGTCAGTTAAGACATGGGACTGTGGCCATGTTCTTCAAAAAGAGCATGCCTGGGTTTTACTTTAGATTTTCATCAGTCTTAGGCTACAGAACCCCACCATGAAATGGCTTCCCCATTCCCAACTTGAGAGAGTTATTGTGCACCATTCAACTCTGAGGGAAGTGTTGATGGGTCACAGGGAGGCTGGCCACTGTTTGGTAGCTGCTTTTTCACTATGTCTTTCATATCCTGCTTTTGTTTGCAAGTTAGAAATATTCTGCAGACTATAATTTCCTGGGGTACCACATCATGTTTTTTTAAGAAGACTGAGTTTAAAAGATAATCATTTGTTTTTTCCGAAAGCTCACTGTTCTTAGAAGGGAACAATGTATATGGTGGTGGAGCTATTCGTGTCACTTAGAAAAATGGACAATTCCTACAAATGGGTAGATGTTATCAACATCTTTTCCCCTTGGTTGCTTGGATGAAGAAGCTGTTAAGAAAAATGTTGCCTGTCATAGCGTTTCTACAAACTACATAAGGAAAGCCTTGATTGCCTATGCCTGAGGAGTGGGACACTTGCAAAGTTGCCATTAGTCCTATTCATTGATAAAACTCTCCCTGGGGCTGTGTGTCCTTACCATTGGGGGAGGCTGCAAGTGGTCAGTGAGTAGATGGCCAGGCCCAGTACCGGTGGGAGGTGGGGCAGTATGCTGTTTAGAAGAGCCAAACTGGGACTGGGTGTCAAAAAAGCATGTACAAATAACAGAGTTGTTCAAACATACCAGGGAGGTGAGGTGGTTCATCTGTAGTGCTAGACTTAGAACTGAAACTTTTTATTCTTTAACTTGCTTTGGTATCCTCTGGATTTTCAACAAATGCAGTCTTCCACTTAGGACCAATAGTTAAAACCACAGGCACCCTCTTACCTTCAGTTTCAGAAAATGAATGGCATCTCTGAAGAGCTTTGAAAGACTTGGAGATCTTCCCCAGGGTTATGATTGGGTTTCCAGAGAGGGCTCAGATCATGGTATTGACCATGGCAGCCATCTTGTCTCTTGAGTGGTGCTGTACTGCCTGATGGGACAGTTCTGCTCTGTCCTGTAGGGTTGCTATGAGTTGGAATTGACTTGACGGCAGTGGGTTTGGTTTTGGTTTTGACACTGCCTAATGGTAAGGGATAAATAACTTATAGATTTTTTCAACCGTATAATCACTTGACTGTTTGGCTGTGGGAATTTTCCACCCAGCTAGAAATACTTGACATATTTTTCTTAAGTTGGCTAGAAGAATTGCAAGTTGAAATTGACCCCATATTTCACTCTTTAAATCAGAGCAGATGCTGGGATAATGGGCAGATTCCTTCATTTAACCTGGTATGTTTTGCATTTCAGTTGGATTAATAGCCTTTTCAGAAACTCAAGAAGAGAAGGGGATATTTAAAAGAGGAATAGTTATGACTAAACGGATGGGAGCAGGGGGCGTGGCTTCATCCACAAATTTCAGTTTTCTTTTTGAGTTTTTCTTCCATTAAATTTCATTTATAGTTTTGGAATCATAAGCCACCCATCAAATTTTAGATTAGAGGTGGTAAGCTGGCTGGCCTATGAGCCAGATAAGGCTTACAGGTGTGTTTTGTTTGGCCTGCACTATGTATTAAATTTGAATTAAGCCAACATTTAAAAATCATGAGTTTTATGTAAAAGTTTTAATTTACATATTTCTAGCTTCTTTGAAAAGTCAGATCTGGCAACTCCGAGACTGCATTTGTGAATAGCAATGGTTAGTTGGAGCTGAGAAGCGAAGCTTATAGATAAATAATGCACTTGATGATGCTCTTTAATTGATGGCTCTTAAAGGTATTTGAGTTTCCAGCCCATGTCTTAGAAAAAGATTATTATTTTTCTTAAAAATCACTTAGTAGGACTCTGTTTTAAGATAAGGGGCAAAATAAAATGCTCACGAAAGGACCTCATAGCAACAAAAATCATTGTCTAACATCATTTTAAATTACCTTGAAAAAAATGTGTATGTGTGTATATAAGTAAAATAAACATTTATATAAAAAATCCACATATCTATGTAAAGGTAGTGTTTTGATTTATGTGTTTGATTCCCAGTGCATTCACCAATGTTCAGTAATAAAAATTCAAAATTCTTCCTTCTATCTAAAATGTCCCAATTTATTTATTTTAGTAACGTAATCAAGAAGATCAATTAGTTCTCATCTTGGGTTGTTTTCATCAATCAACATTAGAATTGTAAAAGAGTCAACCAGATAATTATATACAATATGTAACATTGTACACCTTGTTTACAAAATATGTATTTGTGCAAAGACTATCTTTAAAAAAATTCCTGAACATCTTTTGAAAATGTAGGTGCCAGGTGCTGTGCTAGTAACTGAATACAGAAGCTAACGAGACACTGTCCTGGCCCTCAGAGCTCATAGCCTAGTGTGAGAAGCAGAGATGTAAACAGTGAGCTCTAATATCATTGGAGCCCTAGTGGCATAGTGCTTAAGAGCTCACTGTTAACCAGAAGATTGGCAGTTCGAATCCACCAGCCAGCTCCTTGGAAACTCTGTGGGGTAGTACTGCTCTGTCCTGTAGGGTCACTATGAGTCGGAACTGACTCGGTGGCAACTGGTTTAATATCAGAGGAGTAAGTCCCTGAGTGGCACAAACAGTTAACACACTCTGCTGCTGACCAAAATGTTGGAGGTTCCAGTCCACCCAGAGGCACCTCAGAAGAAAGCCCTGGTGATCTACTTCCCAAAAATCAGCCATCAAAAACCCTGTGGAGCACAGTTCTACTGTGACACACATGGGGTCACCATGAGTCAGAATTGACTTGACAGCAACTGGTTGGTTTTAATGTCATCGGAAATGTTTTTGTCATGTATGTGTTAAGTACTGAGAGAGCAATTACTCCTGCCTGGGAGAGTAGGGGTGTCAAAGAAAACTTCACAGGGAAGGAAACAAATAGTTCAGTTAGTTTTAAAGGATGAGTACTCTGTTTTTAAAAAGAAAAGTTGGATTTTGTAGGTAGAGGTTGGGGAAAGGGACACAATTAGGAGGCCAGAGTGTTCTAGTCTGAATAAAGATCCCAGAAGCCAGCAGTTTCTGGTGTGCTACTCAGAATCATGAGCAGCCTAATGTAGCTGGAGCCAGAGTTACCTGAAATCAAGATAATCTTTTTAAAAAACAATTTTGAGTTATAATTCACATATCATAAAATTTACCTGTTTACAGTATAAAATCTAGTAGAGTTTAGTATATTCACAGGGTTGTGCAACCATTACCCCTAACTAAGTTTATAACACTTTCATCACCCCAAAAAGAAACCCTATGCACATTAGCAGTCACTCTCCATGCCTCCTACCCCCAGACCCTGGCAACCACTGATTTGCTTTAGTATCTGTGTCTATTTTGGGCATGGGTCTGTCTGCTTTCACTTATCATGATGCTTTCAAGATTCATCCATATTGTAGCAAGACAGTTCTTTTTTATTTAAAGAAAACAAAAGTTTTGATGCTATTAAACTTTCTGATATTCTTTGACACTTGTGGTCCATTTCCCACAGTATAGCCCTTTTATGAAGGAGGAATGCAAAGCTGGTCCTACTTGAGATTTGGAATTCCTTTATTGTCACAGACAGGTACACATAGACAATGGATTGGGAGATATTTCCAAGACAGTTCATCCAGATTTAGTGAGATTGACTAATGCAACCCAATTGTTTGTACCTATCACCCCTCCATCATCAAATGGCCAAAAATGATTGTAATTATTTTAGTCTAGGTTACTGATACAATCTTAATGCTATTGAGATTAACAGACAAATTACCAGGTGAGTTTCTTTTGGAGGAGAGGTCCAGGTGCAAGGGACTGGGGCCCAGGCTTATGGAGGTGAGCTTGTTTTAGCTAGTGGAGCTATTGAGATCAGACAATAAGTAAGTGAAAATCACTGGATAGCATTGGAGATGGAGCTTGGAGATAGAGAACAGAACTGGTGATTTGATTTAGCCAGACAACAGAGAATTATCCTAATCCATTAGTGCAATGAGGAGTGGCTATAGAGAAAGGATGCCAAAAAAATTTTTTTAAATAAGAAATGTTTGTAGTAGATTAATTTTATCTCAAGTTGTAGATTAAAATATTAAAAATATTTACCTCATAAATGTCATTTGTATTCGTAATGTTAAATTTGAAAAAGAAGAGACTTGCAATGGATTCTTAGATACAACATTAAAAGCATGAGCAACAAAGAACGTACATATTGGATACTCTAAGCCAATAAATGGGACTTTAGGACCTTATCAGAATTAAAAACTTTTGTGCATCCAAGGACTTTATCAGGAAAGTGAAAACACAGCCTACAGAATGGGAGAAAATATTTGGAAATCATATAGAAGAGTTTAATATCTATAATATATAAAGAACTCAACAACAAAAAGGCATACAACCTAATAAAAAAAATGGGCAAAGGACTTGAATATACATTTCTCCGAAAGAGATATACAAATGGTCAATAAGCACATGAAACAAATGCTCAGCATCACTGGCAATTGTTTTTAGTTGCCATCGAGTCGATTCTGACTCATGGCAATCCCACATGTGCAGAGTAGAACTTCTCATAGGGTTTTTAAGGCTGTGACCTTTTGGAAAGCAGATCTCCAGGCCTATCTTCCAAGGTACCACTAGATGAGATTTGAATGGCCAACCTTTTGGCTAGTAGTGAGCACTTACGGAAATGCAAATCGAAACCACAATGAGATACCCCTTCACCCCCACTAGGATGACTATTTATCCAAAAACAAGAAAATAACAAAAGTGTTGGCAGGATGTAGAGAAATTAGAACCCTCAGACACTGCTGGTGGGAATGTAAAATAGTACAGTCACTGTAGAAAACAGTTTGAAAGTTCCTCTAAAAGTTTAAACATAGAATTACACGACCCAGCAATTCCATTCCTGGGTATATATCCAAAAAATTTGAAAGCATAGGGACTCGAACAGATACTTGTACACCAGAGTTCATTGCAGCACTATTCCTAATAGATGAAAGATGAAAACCACTCAAGCACACCCAAAGCTGTATAAACAAAAGTGGCATATGCATGCGGTGGGGTAAAGAATTACTTTACCTAAAGAATTTGGTCTTTGTCCCTGATACCAGAAAGGTAGCCTCTAAACCCTTGGAATTTCCTGAGTGATTGAAGTGTTTTTGTTATCCATGAGGCCTCCAGACCACAACTAACTGAGAGGTGACTGATGTTGGGTGGGGGTTGGACATGCTGGAAAGACCCACCCGGTAGAAAATGATTCAACCAACCATAACTACATAATACAATCCCAGTAAAAACTCTGGACATTGACGTGCTGGTGAGCTTCCTGGTTGGTGAAAGACAATTATGGTCAGAAGGATGATGTGTCCCTTGGGACATGGACTCCCCATTGGGAACCTCCCAAGCCTCATCCTATATGTGTCTTTTTTATGCTGGTCCTGATTTTTATCCTCTTTGCTATAATAAAACTGTGTTTGTAAATATAGCACTTTCCTGAGTTCTATAAGTTCTAGCAAATTATCGAATCCAAGAGGGTAGTGGGAATCCTGAATTTGTAGCCAGCAGCTCAGAAGTGAGGGGATGCTGGGGACCCCCAAGCTCACAGCTGATATCTGAAGTCCTCGACAGAGTTGGCAATCTGGAGGACTATGCCCTTCAACTTGTGAGATCTGACCTAGCTCTGGGTGGTTAGGGTCAGAAGAACTGCATTAGCAGTTAGTGTCAGAAAAGACAGACACACATAGACAGCTTATACACAATGGAATATTATTCAGCTGTAAAGAGAAATGAAGACCTAATACATGCTATGATGTGGATGAACCTGGAAAACATCATGCTGAGTGAAGTAAGTCAGACACAAAAGGACAAATATTGTATGATTGCACTTATAGGAAATATCCAGAATAGGCAAATTCATAGAGATAGAAAGTAGGTTAGAGGTACTAAGGGCTGGGAGGGGGTTAATGGGTACAGAGTTTCTATTTGAGATGATGAAAAAGTTTTGGAAATGAATAGCGGTGATGGTTGAAAACACTGAATATAATTAATGTCACTGGATTGTTTGTACACTTGAAAAAGGGTTAAAATGGCAAATATTATGTACTACATTTTATCATAAGTTTTAAAAAATGCAAAAAGAAGAAGAAGAAGGGGACTTGGGCAGACAGCCATCATATTGTTTTTCTATAAACCATCTGGCTTTCAATTTATAATTCTGTCCATGGGGTATTAGAGAGCCCCATGGAGTAAAGGCCCCACTCAGCTTCCTACCTTCTTAAAATGTTGCCGTTTTAATGGGGAATTTTGCATGAAGTTCTGATCTTTACTTTCAGAACTCTTACTTACAATGAGTTTGGAAGCTTGGAGATTGGCCCTGATTCCCTATTGCTCCTAGACTCCTATTATTCTACCTTGGAAACAAAGTAAATAGCCTCAAAGACAATGAAGCACTCCATATATCCAAGTTATGGAGCTGTGGAGGTGTTCCCCCAAATATTTTTTGAATCACTGAATTTATTGAAGAAAGGCTCAGTCTAAAACAAACATGTGAATGACTTACTCATCTTTTCATAAAATTTTCTATGACTTATCTTCTTAGGGTTGTTTCTCATCCTGTGAGTAGACGTGTCAGTTCACATGTATTTATTTTGTTCCAACTGTGGATTCAAGATTGTGCTGTGAGAAATGCCAAATAATTTTCAAACTCAGTCTAACTAGAGAGAAAAGGCTGATTAATAAGAAAGTTAATAAAAATAAGCTAGATTGGCATATTCTTGAGAAATTCAGCTTCCCAAATCCCATAACTCAGCTGCACTTGTTGGTCTTGAAAGTTTCCAAGCTTCATGATTCCAGGATTAATTTCAGGGTATGTTTTATTCCCTTGCCTTAATATTATCAATATTTGATGTTGTGCCAGGCAGTTATGATTCCAGAGTTGCAGTTACAGTATCCCATTAATATAGTTTGCATTTTTGTTAAGTTTTTGCTAAGCAGAGCTTTCTGGAGAACTGGAGACTAATGAATGATGATTTAAAAAGAAAGTTTAATGCCAAGTGTAACACAGGATGTAAAATCACAAAACGGCTGGCAGAAATGAACGGGACTGAATTAGAATTCAGGTTCTGACTCACCCACTACAGAACTCAGGATTCTAGAAAATAAAATGCCCATTGCTCTCATACCGTGGAAGTCATATGAAAAACATCACGCTCGAGTGATATGGCTTCATTGGCATGGCAATTTACTGCTCAGAAAAGTAAATAACACAATTAACGTGTTTCTGCTGGGCCTTTTGCACTTACACCACGTTTCTGGCCTCTCCCCCTCACAGCTGGTTTTGATTTGGTTCCTGTGGAATTTTTTTGTTTTGTTTTGTTTTGTATTTAACAACAGTCAGATATTTATGTACAGCTTCAAGAGCTTCTGATGACAAATAGCCTTTGGAAGCCAATAGAAGCTGTGGGAAACCCCGATGGCAGCACTTAGACCTGTTTCCAGTGGAGAAGAATCCCTCTGGGGACTGAGCTA